GGGGGCGGGGCCAGTAGCAGGGGGCGGGGCCAGCAGCAGCTCATTTAAAGCTACAGACACTGAGCCAGGAGTCATGGACCAATCAAACATCACTGTGGTGTCTGAAGCTGAAAAACTGAAAGTCACATTCTGAGAACGTGAAACTTTAATTTGCTGAAAAGGAAACAAAACAAACCTTGAAGTCTTCCATGAACCCTCTCAGAATGTTTTTACTGCAGTGCTTCAGTGAGTGGGATTTAAGTGGCGTTCGGACGTGAAGAATCAACTTTCCGGCTGATTTTTAATCCGGCTCGGCTGAGTGAACACAACGTATCTCTGAAGAGGCCTAGTGAGCAGCTGTTTACCCAAACTACAAATCCAAATGTGGAACCATCACCTCACAACACAAAGACACGAAATGACAGCAAAGAGCCACAAGACGGCCGCCGCTACAGCTCAGCTGGTCGAGCTGGCGTCCCGTGTACAGGGGCTACAGGCCCAGATGCAGCGGTCGCGGGTTCGAGTCCCGTTCATGCAGGTCCTTCCCCCACTTTCCTGCCTCTCTCTCTGTCCTTGTCGTGGTCAACGTCTCTGTGAGGAAACTTCAGGGTGAACAGGAAGCTGAGTCTGTGTTTCCGTGGAAACCCTGTGAATGTGAAGCCGAAGTGAAGAAACTCTCCGACCTACTTTCACTCACGAGGATCTATTACGCAACAAGAAGAGAAGTGAGCCTCCTTCAGCTGGTCAGTGAGCTGAGAGACTCCAACATGAAGACCATGTGATCCGGTCAGCAGCCCCACAACAGCACAGTCAGTGGACTGAGAGGACGACGCAGCAGCCTTCATCTACTCATGAAGACCGTGTGAGTCCATCTGCAGCGAACTCCAAACCAAATACATCAACAAGAGAACCCAGCCGTGCCAAACCTCTGAACCAGAATCTAAAAAGCCAGCAACTGTTTCTGTTAGCATAAAGCTAGCTGCAGACCAACACACACTTTTATCTTCAATTAGAAAAAAAGACGAAATGAAAATTAAAGTATAGGAGAAAAATGTACGAACCCAAAACTGGAACTGACTGCATGTGATGACGTGCACGGTGGCGGAAGGATACACCGATATTAAAGAAGTAGTGCCAGGACACCTTGTTGTTGGCAAATGATTCTGACCCATATCGTCTCTCAGTAACGGCANGTCAGTGTTACCTGTGTGTCAGCAGAGATGTTGGCTGGGACTCTCTGCAGGTGGAGCTCGTTGCAGTCGACCGTCCTCGCCTGGTGATACACTGACTGAGGAGTGTACCAGGGGCGCGTCTCACACACACATTGCAGAGGACACAGCACAGCGCCACCTGCAGGACGAACCGTCACCAGGGAGACGAAGAGTAGGAGCACGGAGAGGACCACAGATCCCATGATGCACCAGGCCGAGGCAACTTCCTCCAGACGGTCGGCGGGAGGCACATCTACACAAACACTGAGAGAGGAAGGAGGAGGTGTTTACACCTAGCTTAGCATTTAGCGTCTCTTCAGAAAGACACAAGCGGCTTATTAATGCTAACTGTGTCAAACCCGTGTTGCAGCAACCGTCAACAGCAGCAGCAATTAGTTGGACAACTCAGAAGAGCTTAGAGACACACAACATCAATTCTTACACACACACACACACACACACACACACACACACACACATACACATACACATACACACACTTTCCATCACTACAGAGGACATCAGCTAAAAATAACCTGCTCTAATGTTCACTGTGTTAATGTGACCAGACAGCTGAGCTGCTGCTGCTGCTGTTGTTGTTGTTTTTGTTGTTGTGCACACACACACACACACGCACACACACGCACGCACACACACGCACACACACACACGCACACACACACACACACACACACACACACACACTCAGTTGGGTGGGAAACGGGGACACCTTGCCTCTGGTGCCATGGCAACCAGCCAGGAAATGACATAGCAAAACAGAGGGGCGGGAGTGACCTCTGAGCTGCTCTGTGATTGGCCGGCTGCCTCTGACAGCGTCCCAAATCCTGACAGTCAGATTGTGTGTGTGTGTGTGTGTGTGTGTGTGTGTGCGTCGTCAGACAGATGTGAGGCAGCAAACAGCTGGCTGGTCAGGCATTAATAATCCTCCACCTGCTGTTTGAACCTGAAGGAGCGTGCACAAGTCCACCAGGAGCGTGCACGTGACCTCAAACCAAAACATCGGCACAGAGAGTCTCCCAGAGCATCATGGGAAGCCGAGTGTGTTTGGCTGACTGTCTGCACTAACAGCAGGACTGTTACAGAGTGGAGGAGGTCTGTCTGAACTCCTCTCCTCCCTCCTGCTGCTCAGCAGATGGAATATTGATGAGATGATATTAATTATTTAACGAGCAGCGAGCGCCTCGTTAACTGTCCTGAGTGCTGGCTGTGATTGGAGGAGAGAAGGCGGCGACGGATGATTAAATCAGACACACACAGAGGCGTTTGGACTAAGATGAGGTAAAATAACACAAATGTAATCACAATACAAGGACACAAAACAAGACAATGAAAAGATGAAAAGATAAAAAAATCTGCATCAGAAGTAGATTCTCACTGAAACTCCATCCATCCATCATCTCTACACCTTAATCCTCACCAGGGTCATGGGGGGCGGAGTCTATCCCAGCTGACTCAGGGTGAAGGCAGGT